GGGTTAGGGATCTGAGTGTACCAGTGATGTGGGCTCAGCATTGACTACTCTAAGGGATGATGGCGGCCCTCGAGGCCGCTATCATGAGGACTGAATGACTGAGCATCATGGGACCAGATGGGCAGGTAACCACTGACCAGAACGGAAAGGTCATCCAGCTTGAAGATATCATCGGGAACTCCAGAATTCTTCAGGCTGTTGGCCCGAGCCACAATGGCCTAGGAGTATAAGGAAAGAACTTGTGATCCTCACTTTCTGCCCTTAGAGAGAAGCACAGGCCGGGTGGGATGCTTCTTCAGAAACTGGAGGCCAGGTCTGAGTATCCTCCCTCCTCTGACCTTTGCTCACACACTCCGTCTGGTGGGCTCTTCCCAGCCTCCCAGTGAGTGCCTCTTCAAACTTTAAAACCCAATGTCACTGTGCCTCCAAGGCCAACATGGGGCCCTCAGAGTTGTGGTACTGGGGTGGAAGCCTAAGGCTTTGCGTGTGACAAGCATGCATGTTGTCACTGGACTAGATCCCTACTCTCCTGGTTTTACAAAGACAGGGTCTCATGTAGATACTAAAACTCAATGTGTAGACCAGGTTGGCCTCAAACTCAGAGATTCGCCTCCTTCTGCCTACCGAGTACTGGGATTAAAGGCATACACCACTACATTCAATTCCATTTTTTATTCTCAATCAAGGTTAATTAATCCTAGCTTGTCTAGCTGGACCTTGAACTCAATTGGTAGCCCAGGAGTTCCTGGAACTTTCTGTTTATCTACTTTAGCCTCTCATAGCTGGGATTACAGTCTCTATGACACTGGCTAAGCAAAATGCATTTGTTTCCTTTTATGTGTATGTGCAAATGCCTGCATGTATGTCTATATCCTATGTACAGCCCAGTGCAGTCACTGCAGGCTAGTCATGGCCTTGACAGGCTGGGGCAAGCCAGCTAACTCCCCAGCTATGTGACACGAGATAAGTCACTTCATCATCATTGTGTACCCCTGAAACTTCCCTTAGATGTGTCTAAGTTTGAGCAAAAGGCTGGGGTTAGGGGAACAGTGACTGCTCTTGAGTCTTGAGTTTAATGCAGCAAGAGCCATGTCTGCTGTTGTTTTGGTTTGTTTTGGTTTCTTCCACACAGGGTTTCTCTGTGTAGTCTTGGTTGCACTGGAACTCTGTAGACCAGGCTGGCTTGAACTCTGAGATCCACCTGCCTCTGCCTCCTGAGAGCTGGGACTAAAGGTGTGTGCCACCAGCGCTCAGCAATCTATTTTCTTAAGTGCAACCTACCTGCTGGAGGAAAGGGAGGAACTTGCCAAAGCTACTTAGCCAGTGTGATGGATGGTATGGATCAGAATGGTCCCCCATAGGCACATATATTTAAATGCTTGGTCCCCAGTTGGTGGAACTGTTTGGGAAGGGTTAGGAGATGTATTGGAGGAGATGTGTTACTGAGGGCAAGCTTTGAGGTTTCAAAAGCCCACACCATTCCGAGCTAGTTCTTTCAGCTTCATGGTTGTCTCAACATGAGTTCTCAGCTACTGCTCCAGTGCCATGCCTGCCTGCCGCCATGTTCCCCCCACTGTGATGGTCATGGACTCTAACCCTTGGAACTGTGAGCCCCTAAGTGAAATACGTTCTTTAAGTTGCCTTGGTCCTGTGCTTTGTCACAACAATGGAAAAGTAACTAAGCCAGTTAAGTGGCAAAGCCCTGGTTTAGAGTCAGGGAGCCCAAGTCCAGATCCTGTTCCCTGAACATATGGGGTTCTGGCCCTGTGAAGGATAATCCTGACTGAAGTCTGTAAGGCTGGCCAGGGCTTGATTTTCAGGCCACTTTCCAGGTCTAGTCACACCAGCTACACTGCTGTCTAGGGGTGACTTCTGTGTGGCCAGGGGACTTTACCTCTGTGGCACCTTAGAAGCACACACGACATACTAACATGTCCTAGCACCATGTTCTGCCTACACTGTTGTGTTCACAGCTGTCCAAAGAGGTAGTGGGCTTTGGAATGTCCTTGCTTTTCTCAGAAAGTTCTCCCATTCGTATGAGCTCCTGCACACAAGGAGTAATGGAGCCCTCCTGCAGCAACACAGGCACAGAGGGGAGGAGGGCAGAGATGCTGGCCCATGGCTGACCCTACAGCAGCTCTGGCCAATACTCACCCGAAGTGAAGGCAGGCTGGACAGTTCCCCATGCAGTGTGGTCAGATTGTTGTGGCTCACAGACAGGTGCTCCTGGACAGGACAAGAGTCAGAGGCTCAGGTGGGGCCTAAGGTGTCCAGCCCCTGCCTGCTGCCCCTGTGACTCTGCACCATCTGGGAAGGCCATCCCAACAGTCCCCTCTCCTTTACACACCCTCACCTGCCTTGCATACATCCCAGGTGGGGTGCCCATCCCCCCTCCATCAGCTTTGCCCACAGCTATTTCTGTTTTCTCTCTACACGAGTCCCCTTTTTGCAGGGCATGCCCACCTGGCCTAGCGACAGGGACCCTTCCTGCCGCCTATGCCTCTTACCAGCTTCTGCAGAGCTGCTAGTTCTTCGGGCAGGTAGCAGAGGCCTGTGCGGTTCAGCTTCAGCCACCGCAGGCTGGTCATAGCCTTAACATTCTCAGGGAAGTAGCCGCCCTGGTGGGGGGCAGTAAGGAGAAGACAGTCTAGGAGATGAGTGTCCCCTCCCATCACCTTCTGTGGTCCCCAGGGAAATACTTTGTATTTCTATTTCTTACTCAAAAAATGGCACTAAATGAAAGCCCCTCTACCCCCCCCCAGAGAAAGACAAAAGTACTGTCCCAAACCTGTCTCTCCAGCTGGAGTCTGTCCCAGGGAGGCCAAACCTGGTCTGTTTCAAGGGCTACTCAGCGCTCCACTGTGCTTAATGGCACTCACATTGCTTTGCCTGCTGTTCCAGGCAGTTTGGTTGTCCGGGATGAGACTGCCCCTGACACTCCCCAGATTGCACTAAGAGCCCAGCTCCCCACTGTTCCTCGCACAGTCTCATTCATTCCTCACATACAATGTCCACTTCAGCATCCTTGGCCTTTTGGTTTGTTTGTTTTTCAAGACAGGGTTTCTCTCTGTGTAGCCTTGGCTGTCTTGGAACTCACTCTGTAGACCAGGCTAGCCTCAAACTCACAAGAGATCCACCTGCCTCTGCCTCCTGAGTACTGGAATTAAAGGTCTGTGCTACCATACCAGGCTATGGTTTTGTCCCCCCTGCCACCTCTAATTACACAATTTCTCTGTGTAGTCCTGGAACTCATTCTGTGACCAGACTGGGTTCTAACTCAGAGATCTGCCTGCCTCTGCCTCCCCAGTGTTGGGATAAAAGGCGTGCGCCACCACCTCCTGGCTACACCTGGCAGTTTTGACATCTAAGCAGCATGAAGCATCATTGCCTTTTGCTACCGTTTCCTTCTCCCCCAGTCACGTTCCCCAAGGTAACTCAGATATTCCAAGTCTAGAGAGAGTATAGAGATCACAGGTGAGGGTGGTGGGCATGTGGACAGGATAAAGTGATGACAACTGTGTAGTGGCAAACGTATGTCCATGTGCAGGTGAACACGGGAGAAGCCCACCTCCTTCTGCATCCCTTAATCTAACATCTAAAGGGACAGACGTCAGGGAGTAGAGAAGGAGGCCCAGGCCTCTGAGCTGTCCTTTTATATATATATATTTTAAAGTCAAGACAGGGTTTCTCTATGTAGCTATGGGTGTCCTGGAACTTGTTTTGAAGACCAGACTGCCCTGGAAATCAAAGATCCACCTGCCTCTGCATTCCGAGAGCTGGAATTAAAGGCGTGCACCACCACGCCCATAGCTGTGCTCTTTACAGTCAAGAACCAGGGCTGCTTGTTGTCTGTCCCCCTGGCCCATCAGTCTAGCAGTTGCGCAGACGTGCCGCCTAGGGCCTCGCACCTGTCACACTCCTTACTAACAGATCTCTTTCCATTACACGCCTCCAAACGGGCTGTTCCTAAGCCCCTAGGGCTGGAGAGAACCCCGGGTTTGCGGAGGGAGAAGTGACGTCTCGAAACCACAGAGTGGGGCGGTGGCTGGCTAGGGCGTATTCCCTCGGTGGAATGGGGTCAGGTTCGCGGCCTGAGGGCTCAAATCCCGCGTGGCCCCAGACCCCGGAGCCCCGGCCCAGGTCTTCCGCCGCGGGCGGGGCAGGCCCGGGAAGACTCGCGGAGGCCCGCCCGCCCGCCCCGCCTGCCGATCCCGGAAGCGCAGAGGGAGCGGCCCGAAGAGACGGCCAGGGGTCACCCTTCCCCTTCCCCCCAGCTAACCTTGAAGTCGTTGCCGCTGAGGTCCACGCCGCGCACGAACGGCAGCACTCCGGTGGCCTCCATGGCGCAGCTTTCCTACGGGCTAGGAGGACGCGGGGCGGCCGGGAGCCGCGGGCTGGGTCAGCGCCGGCCCCGCCCCTTTAGCCCGCGCGCGCCTCCTCCCGGCCGCGGCCTCTGCGGGAAGTGCTGCTAGGCGACTCCCACAGCTGCAGGCCTCGCCGGGGACCAGAGTTCTAGGACTGGAGAGGCCTGCAGGGGTCACGCTGGAGATGATCACCACTTCCAGTCCCCAGTAGCAACGTGGAGGGTGGGGCCCAGGCACTGTCACTTGGGCTGCTGTAGCCCCTGGAGCTGGCCGTGACCCCGGAGAGATTGTGGTACCAACGTCAGGGACACGGGCAGTTTGTATGTGAGGGATCGGTGGTGGTGGTGGTGGTGAGACTTCTGGGTCTTTGGGGCCTAGCCCTTCAGCTCCTGGACTCAACTTTGCTCATGTGTAACATGCTTCCCGAAGTTGCCAGAAGCAGGTGAGTACTCAGCATGTGGCAGCTTAGAGAGCTTAGAGAGCAGGATGCACAAACTCTCAACATTCTCCCTTGGCATCAAGACTCCAGCCACTGTTCTTTATTGGCTTGTTTCGTGCTCTAGGAGACCAGCGTATCTCTTGGACTAAGCTGTTAGTGGCCATCTTGCCCTGGCCAGCACACGGTAGGTTTCCCATAAACAAACACAGCTGTTCTATGGGTGTACACAGTCTGGCATCCAGTATTTCAGGATGAGAAAGAGTTGGCACGACAGGTAGCAGAGCTCTTTTCCTATTGTGTGCCTAGCAGGCCAAAAAGAAATGAGACCACCAGTAACTCTCACAGGGGCGAACTTGAGAGGCAGCCTTTGGGCTAAGTGAAGTTTTGTCTGCCTGGCTCACCAAGGGACCGTGAGCTCAGCTTTCTCCACACTGAGGCTCCCATTGCAAGCACACACAAGGTCAGAGGTGAGGCTAAGGCACGACTGCTGAGAATTCGATGCCAGTTGTGGCTTTAATGTGAGGCCCTTTCTCAACAAAACAAAACAAAACAAAAACCAAAACACCCCCAAAGTAAATAAACTAGACCAGGCCCTGAATGACTGTCACACTCACCACCTCCCCCCCACCTTCCGCTAACAACAGAACCCTGCGCCTTTAAATCCGGAGTGTGCCTGTGGTTTCCGCCCCCCATGGTCCAGGGGCGTGCCTAGCGATCATTGGCTGAGCTGCTCAGTTTTGAGCACGTGTGCGTAGGAGTTGTGCGCTCGGATTGGAGCGAAGGCCTGCTTATCCAGCGTGCCTTTCGGGTCACTTACCGCCCCGGGGCCTCGGCGGCGTTCGGTTCCAGGGGTTTGGACGTTCCATTCCTAGGCGGGTCCTGGTCCTCCAGGGTCCTACTCGCAGCGTCCTTGGGTCGATGAACTGACGCCCGGACGCAGGTACCGCTGCAGCGCACGGGGCGGCCCGGGGTCTCCCAGCACTGGGAGTGGCACGCATCCCAGTGCAGGTGGGGGCGTGGCCTGTGGTCACTGCGGTGGGAGGGAGGACTTGGGGACTGAAGATCCGAGTTCGAATTCCAGCCGTGCCTCTTCCAGACTTGGGTATTGCACATGATTTCCAGGGCCTCAATGACTTCGCTCTTGAATAGAGTCTAAGAGCCTTTTGCATGTGGTCACACGTTCCTGCTCAGCCCTGATACAGGGCAGTCAGCTTTGACCCAAGTGGAAGACCAGGTGACATCCAGGCTGTGAAGAGTCAGGTTATTTTGTTATTTTTGTTTTGTTTTGTTTTGTTTTGAATAGTAGCTCTATTATGCAGCCCTGACTGTCCTCGAACTCAGTGTGTAGACCACACTTGCCTCGAACTCAAGGAGATCTGGCTGCCTCTGCCCCGAGTGCTGAGATTAAAGGCCTGCAGCACCCACCACACAGGGCCTGAGTTGGTTATATTTAACCACCTATTTTATTCCCTTCTTACTGGAGTTTGACAACAAGACCCCTCAAGGTGTAGGGCTGAGTCCCACTTCAGACAGGTGTTTGACTGTAAGCCCCTTCAGCTTGCAAAGTGGCTTACTGGTCTGAAGGCAGTGGTAGGTAGGCTGTAACGAAGCAGAGCCTCTGAGCTTGTAGTAGGCCCCCTGGCTGGCCTTTGACCTTGCCAGGCCCGAGGACAGGGTCTTATTTTTAGTCTGGGGAGCATGGACAGGTGTCTCAGCTGAGTCACACAGTGCTGCAGGCTTCAGCTACCCCAGGCAGCTTGTCACTTGGCAACTGGGTCCCAAGACAGCCATGGCCCTGAAGGAAGGACTGAAGTCCTTGGTGCCCCAGCAGTCAATGACCTTTCTGGCTTAGTGGACTGGGCCTGGAGATTTCTGTGTCTTTTTCCTAAGTTCCCAGTCCTCCTCACTAGTGCTGTACAGATAAACAGAAGCCCTTGGCTCCAGGCCTTTCCCTCACCTTCTTACCTCTCCAACTTTGTGCCAAGTCCATGGGCGCTGGCCAGCCTGTCCTGAGTCAGTACCTATCTAGGGTTACTTCACTCACTACTGGACCGTGGGGCCTTCAGCCTGGCCTCTGAGGGGTTGCCCTACCCCAAGTAGTTTTCCTGTCAAGATCTGTGGGGCCAGAAACTAGATCTCTGAATTTGCTAAGGGTCTATCAAAGGTCTGACAGTGCCCAAACCTCCCAGGCATGCTTCCTGGAAACCCATATTTCAAGTCTCTATGGGGCTTTGGGTTCCTCCTGACAGGCTTTTACACAGTGTGGCTGTTCTGGGTGGGTCCTGACTAGGAGTGAGAACCTGACCAGGAGGTGTAGGGAAAATACTCAGGCTTTGGGGGGGAGGTGGAAGATTCTAGAATCTGTGCTGTGAATCCCAGACCTTAGCACTCAGTTTGTGGTTTGGCAACTCATGTCTTTGTAGAGTCAGGGTGGTGGTGGTGAGCCCTGATTCTCAAGGTCTTGGGGTGAAGTTGAGAGAAAGGCCTGGAGCTTTCCTATATGAGCCCTTTTCTAGTGTTTGGAGGCTTGCAGGTTTCAGGGAGGGGCCTGGCAGTCCCCTGCTTCCTTCCAAGAAACTCTTTGAGCAGCCTGTTTCTCACAGGTCCTCAGAAACCACACTCTTGGTTATTACTAAGCATGTATGCACACTGGCCACGAACTGCCTCTCTTACAGGTGACCATGGCAGACTTCTCACAGAAGCAGAGGAAACAGCATGGCGGCGAGGGCCTGGGCAGTGTGGTGGACTTCCTCTTGGCTAATGCTCGTTTGGTGCTAGGTGTAGGTGGGGCTGCAGTGCTGGGCATTGCCACCCTGGCTGTAAAGCGGGTAAGACCAGGGTGTCAAGGCCTGCCTGAAACCTCCTCCAGGGGAGCTGGGGGACGGTGGGACTTTTTGAGGTCGGACTGGAACACAGGGCCCCTACTTCTCACCCTAGCTTCCTGGTTTGCTTTCCCCGCCAGCTTTGCCATGGCCCCCGATGCTCTGATCTGTGTCACTTTGCCTGTAGCTCATTGACAGGGCCACTAGCCCTCGGGATGAGGATGACACCAAAGGGGACAGCTGGAAGGAACTGAGCCTGCTGAGAGCCACATCACACCAAAAGCCCCAACCCCCTCCTGCTGCCCTCAGCCAGCCCGCAGCTCCTGTGTGCCCCTCCCACTCTGCTCCAGGTAAGCTGCGTGCTGCTTCCCTCTAGTGTGATGAGTCCCCTGTGCATGCTCATGCAGAAGCCGTGCTCTTCACATATTTCTGCTCCGCTTTGGCTTGTGGGCTCCTCGGATATTCAATGGGTATTGTAGGTTTGCGTTTTTCTGGATAAAACCCCAGGACCTCACATGTACCAAGCAAACGCTCTACCACTGAGTTATACCACAGCCCTGGGACCCTTGTTTTTGCTATCTGCTTTCTGCTATAGCAAGATTGCATCATATGATGGTAGAGAGCCGCAGATGGGGAAACCGAGGCCTGGAGAGAGCAGGATTGTTGTAGTTGCAGAAGCCAGAGTGTTGGGACACTGGGCTAGTGACGTTGTCATCTTGCCCTCACGTCCTATGACCTGACACCAGGGCTTTCTCAGCGGCTGTTAGAGGTGAGCCTGGAGCCCAGTGCCATCACCCAGCTAGCGAGCAGGTAGAGTTTTCTTAACTTGTGGGGCCTTCTGATGTGTTCTCCTGGATGCTTCCCTCTGCAGTGGGGCCCACACCCACACATTCTCAGACGACACCTCAGCTCAGCTCTGGAGCACCCTTATGCCTGACGTTCCAGGAGAAGCTGCTGGCATTTGAGCGTAACCACGTGATTATCCCAGAAGCCCACGTGACTTTGGTGAAACAGCTGGCTGGAGACCTTGCCTTAGAGCTGCAGGCCTACTTGAGGAGCAAATTCCCAGAACTGCCTTTTGGTGCACTTGTGCCGGGTGGGCCTCTCTATGACGGGCTACAAGCAGGGACCGCTGAGCATGTGCGCCTGCTAGCACCTCTTGAGTTGGAGCCAGGGTTATGGAGCCTGGTACCTGGCATGGACACTGTGGCCAGAGAACCTCGATGCTGGGCTGTACGCAGGACCCAGCTTGAGTTCCATCCCCGTGGGTGCAGCCCATGGGACCGCTTCCTGGTGGGGGGTTACCTTTCCTCCCGTGTCTTGCTGGAGCTGCTACGGAAGGCCCTGTCAGCCTCTGTCAACTGGCCAGCCATTGGCAGCTTGCTTGGGTGTCTGATCTGGCCCAATGTGGCTTCAGAGGAGCTGCTGCTCAAAGTACAACATGAGTGCCTGGAGTTCACTTTAGCTGTGCTCATGGTGGTCCCTGGGGCCAGCACTGATGACCGCCTTCTGCTGGCTTGGCCCCTAGAGGGGCTGGCCAGCAATCTCTGGCTGCAGGATCTATATCCAGTAGAAACCGCCCGTCTGCGGGCCCTGGACGACCAGGATGCTGGTACTCGGCGGAGGTTGTTACTGCTGCTATGTGGTGTGTGTCGAGGCCGTCCAGCTCTGGTGCGGCTGGGCTGGAGCCACCTGACTCAGGTGGTTCTACATCTGTGTGAAGAGGAAGTGACCTGGACTGAGGAGGCCTTGGGGGACCGGTTTCTGCAAGCTCTGGAGTTTCTGGTGGGGAGCTTGGAGCAGGCTAGCCTGCCCTGTCATTTCAACCCCAGCGTGAACCTCTTGGGTAGCCTTCGGGAAGAGGAGATCGATGATATTGGCTACGTGCTCTACAGTGGTCTCCAGGTTCCTGAGAGCTTATTCTAGGAGAATGAGGACTATGATTGACCTGTTTTCTGATGCTGGAGAGCAGCGGCCACCTCCCTCCCAGGACACTGCAGTGTGGTTTGCTTTTTCTTAGCCAGAGTGGAGGAGGAGTGACATTACCTAAGCCCACTGGTGGCCATGTGCCTGGGTAATGGTGAGAGTCTGGGTTGCTGACATCTGAGTGTGACCAGCCTGCCCTGGCCGCTTTCAGTGCCAGCCATACTGATGCCCCTTAGCCCTCTGGGATTGATTTAGGAACTTGGGTGCAGGCCACCATCACCAGCAATGAGCTCACAAAGAATGAGATGTAGCTTTTGATGTCCTAGGCTTCACCTAGGCAAAGGCTGGTTCCAACATTTTGTCAAAAAAGGAAAATGTTCTTGGGTGGGTAATAGCTCCAGTATCCTGAGGGACTCACAGGGAGTCAGCTGGCATCCTGGAGGTAGCTTCTTAGCTGTTGAAGGATGGTGGTTTCCTGACGGTGGTGCATTTGTTCTTCTGATTGAGTCCTCAGGCCTTGAAGCTGAAGTTGGCTCCCTTGCTGCCTGCCTTATACCCCAGGGAAGGAAGGTCTTGTTCTCTCCTGCTTGGTTTTCTCTATAGGCCACAAATTACCTCTGGGAGAACCCCTTCCTCACTGGGGAGCTGAGCTCTGTGCTGCCTATGCAAGGCTATCCTATAGTGGCTACTCCTAGGCCTCACTGCAGGGTAGAGGACATGGCCCTCCCAGGGTCCTGTGTGCAGACCTGGCCTCTGCAGCGTGCCAAAATATTCATGATAGATGTCTGTGTCCTCACCTTGCACCCTGGTCAAGGTGGCATGGCTGGAGGAGGGAGACTATCTCCCTGCCAGGGGAGCCTTTCTTTCTATTTTAGGTACCACCCCCTTACACACACTGAAACAAAGCCATGCCTTGAAGAGTGTGAATAAAAGGAGAAAGAATTGTATGTGTGTGTGATTCTTGCTGGCAGAAGGTGGTCTTGGTTGGAGGTGGTTGCCTGGAGCGTCACAAGTCTTGAGGCTGGATGTGAAGGCTTGAGAGTCATCTTGGAGATTTAAAAACGTTTCCAAGCTGAAGAGGTGGCTCAGTGACTGTATTGTCATCCCTTACCAGCTATAAACAGGGCTGAGACATGCCATCTACACTATGGGGAAACAGTTGTTGGGTCTCATCCTGAGAGGCCATCATGTATGTAGCCTCAGTGACAGCTGGGGCTCCATCTGACATACAGCTGCCTCAGCTCACGCACCAACTGACTGAGGGATCCTGCCCAATCTTTTGGTTCAAACCATCAACTGAAACTAAAGCCGTGGTTTTATCTGGCCTTGAGCTCGTGCTACAATCTCATGCAGACTTCAAGCCTGCGAGAAATTTAGGGCATATGTATCCTTTGAGGACAGGGTGTCCAAAAGGCAGATAGTCAAGGGGTGGGGAGAGAGGTACCTCATTCCTCTGGTCTCTATGTGGGCCTTCAATCCCAGGTATGGTCTGTGACATTTGTACATCTGTCCATCCGTCTGTCCACCCATCCACCCATCTATCCATCTATCCATCCATCCATCCATCCATCCATCCATCCATCTATCTATCTAGACAGGGTTTCTCTGTGTAATAGCTCTGTCTGGCTATCCTGGACTTGCTTTGTAGACCAGGCTGGCCAGAGATCCACCTGATTCTGCCTCCTGAGCGATGGGACTTAGAGACATGCCTTACTACACCTGGCGACATTTGCACTTTTTTTTTTTGGTTTTTTGTGACAGGGTTTCTCTGTGTAGCCCAGGCAGTCCTGGAACTCACTCTGTAGACCAGGCTGGCCTCGAACTCAGAAATCCGCCTGCCTCTGCCTCCCAAGTGCTGGGATTAAAGGCATGCACCACCACCACCTGGCGACATTTGTACTTTTAATACTACAATTTTCTTTTGTAATCAGGTAAATGTTTTTTTAAAACAGCTTTTCTTGAGTCAGCCAGTCGCAGCAGAAAAAGCCCAGTACATAACCCAAGGCAACATCAGCAGCTCTGGTGACCCATGGATCCTTTACACTGACTGACAAACTCTTTAAGTCTTTGCAGTTCACAGGCTTGGCCTTAGTGGGTGGATGGCCCGAAGCCCAGGCTTTTCGATTTTCGTGGATTTTAGAAGGAATGCTCCACATATCGATTGCAGGCAGAGTACCGTTTCCCAGTGTGGAAGCTGGCATTTGAGGTAGGGTTACAGGGCCTTAGTAACACCTGAGGGACAGACTTGTTACTTGGGGCAGATCTCTCCATCCCAGGGATGGCTGGTAGGAAGGAGGTGTCTTGATTTGCTTCCTATTGACCAAAAACAACTGGGGCAGGAGGGTGGGGGGCGTTATGTAGTTCAAATATACTGAGTCACAGTCAACTGAGAGAAGCCAAGGCAAGAACTCAAGCAAGGGAGGAACCTGAAGGCAGGAGCTGATACACAGAACATAAATGCTACTGTCTTGTTCCTGATTGCCAGTTCAGCCTTCTTACAGAACTCAGGAAGAGCTGCCCTGGAACTGCCCTGCCATAGCTGGCTAGGCCCTCCTACATTAGTCATGAATCAAGACAATGCCCTACAGGCTTGCTTACAGGACAATCTGATGGAAACATTTTCTTATTCAAGTTCCCTCTTCCCAGATGACTCTAGCTTGTGTTAACATAAAACTAGCCAGCACACTGTTTAAAAATATCATCCCGTCATGAGGCAGCTGAGTCCCCATGGCTATGGAATAGGGGAGTCGGGACCAAGCCCAGCCCAGCAGTTCTCAGTCACGGAACACCCAGAAGTATTGCCTGTGTAGACTTAAAAATTTCCAGGGCACTCGGGATTTTGAACCTGTGAACTCTATGGTATAAATGTCCCTAAAAAGCTCATGTATTGAAGGTTTGGTCCACGGTGGCTGATGATTCTGTCATGTTCAGAAGAAAATATCTGTATTAGCACAAACGGGCAGGGGCACAGCTCAGGGGCAGAGCCTGCACTTAGAATGAAGTCCTGGCTTCAGTCATCAGCAAAATTACCAGCAACTGAGCTCAGCAATGGAAAGCTGGCCCACTGTCTGAAAATGAACAAAGGACTGGCAGGCCTGACATGATTTGCCTATCAGACTGTTACTATGATAGGGACACATTGGCAGCTGCCATTTAGAGTTGTTTTCAGAGATTTCCACCCAAGGGAAATGGGACTCATGGCTGTCCTGGTTAAGTTTTTTTTGCTAAGTTGGCACAGGTAGGGTCACCAGGGATGAAGGGACCTCAAATTAAGAAAATGTCCCCATCAGAATGGCTTATAGGCGGGTCTGTGAGACATTTTCTTGGTTAACAATTGATGTGGACTGGTTCCGTCCTCTGTGGGCAGTGCCAACCCTGAGCAGGTGGTCCTTGGTTGTACAAGAAAACAAGACAGCATCACATGGGAGAAGCCGTAAGCAGCTCCTCCATCACATGGGGAGAAGCTGTAAGCAGCTCCTCCGTGGTCCCTGCTTCAGCTTCCGCTGACTTCCTTGCATGATAGACTATAAGCTGTAAAATGGAATAATCTCTTTCCTCCCCAAGTTGCTTTTAGTTACACTGTACATCACAACAGCAGAAAGCAAACTAGGACAGTGACTTTGACAAATCACTTTCAGGGAAAGCCAAGTATGAATCAAAGTTGAATGTATTTAAAAGTGGAAAGGTAAAGGAAGAAGACAGGAGGGACAAGACCTATGAATGCACACAGGACAGGATGAGTGTAGGCATATAGGTACAGGATTAGGGTGGCCCTCAAGTTACATCTCTAAACTGCTAAGAAATGTCCATCCCTGCTTCTGATGCGGCTCAGTGTGTAGCTTAGGAGCTCACCTTAACAGCACATTCAATAAACGGATTAGCACGGCCCCTGCACAGAAGGATGACGTGCAAATTCACCAAGTGCCCCCTGCCTTGTCTCTTGGATTATACTCATGTCTGTAAATTAATCTGTGATAGAAGGGAAAAGCTGGGAGTTCTAAGGAAGGTTTATGAGGGTGCTATTAAGGCTTAGAAAAGGTTGTCCTAGAGAGTCAATGGGCTACATTACCCTGGCCCTAAATTAAGGCAAGTTTGCTTACTGCCCCAGTGTCTTCAGGGTATACACCTTGTCTCCACAGGCAACTTTGGTTTTATCAGTGCTGTCTGAAAAATTTCAATTCCATTAGCAGGGCCCACAAGTCAGATGCTGCTCCTCTCATCCTGCCTCAGGGTAACTATAGCAACACCTCAAACCACATAGTCAGCAGAGCCAGCTACAATGGAGCATGGCCAAAACTCTAGCACCTGGGAGGCTGAGGCAGGAGGACTAGGACTTCAAGATCATATTACATCATAAATACAAGCACAGCCAGAGCCACAGGGACAAAGCCACTCTCGTAATCCTTGAACACAGGCTTAGCTCCGTTGCATGCCCTGGTGCCCATACATTTTGTATTTTTTCTTTTTAAGCTTGCTACTCTTCATTAAAACACTCTTCAGAAGAGTGAACTTTAATAACCACACAACAGAATTTATACCAGGCTGTTTTGAGACCTCCTTTGTCTCTTCATATTAGCCCCCAGCACACTCTTCAGACAATGGCAAAAACCAGCCACACTCTTCACCAGAATATTACAAAAACAGTCTCTAGGCCGCATACTAACATTCTTCTCCACTGAACCTCTTGGGCCAGCAGCCCTATACAGCTCAAATCACCCTCAGCACCACTGTCTTCCATATTCCTACTAGGATGGCCCATTTAGCCCCACTTAAAACATTCCATGGCTTTCCAAATCCAAAGTCTTCAAATCCACATTTTTCCAAACAAAAACACGGTCAGGCCTACTGCAACAATACCCTACTTCTGGTACCAACTTCCATCTTAGTTACGGTTTTACTGTTGTGAACAGATACCATGACCAAGGCAACTCTTATAAAGGGCAACATTTAATTGGGGCTGGCTTACGGGTTCAGAGATTCAGTCCATTATTATCATGGCAGGAAACATGACAGCACCCAGGGAGACGTGGGGCTGGAGGAGCTGAGAGTTCTATATCTTGTTCCAAAGGCAAACAAATGAAGACTGGCATCTCATGTGGTTAGGAGGGTCTCACTGCCCACCCCCATAGTGACACACTTCCTACAACAAGGCCACACCTCCTAGTAGTGCCACTCTCTGGGCCAAGCATGTACAAAGCACCACACTGACTTTCTAGAGGACTAGAGTTTGGTTCCTAGCACCCACATAGGGTGGCTTACAACTACCTGTAACTCCAGCTCCATGGACTTGGTGCCCTCTTCTGACCTTAGTGAGTACCTGCACACATGTAGCATACATTCAGACACACGTAATGAAAAGATTCCTCCTATCCAGGACTTCATGGCCTTAGCATGGGACCCTAACAGGTGCGTCCCTGAACTCAGCCTCCGACGACATCCTTGATGGGCACGTAAGCTCCCACTCAACCTCCAGTGTCTGCCACCAGCCCTCCTCCGCCCACCAGCACCCCTCCGCCCACCAGCCCTCCTCCGCCCACCAGCACCCCTCCGCCCACCAGCCCTCCTCCGCCCACCAGCACCCTTCCATCCACCAGCACCCCTCCGCCCACCAGCACCCCTCTATCTGGCAACTACACTCCCATCCTTCCTCTCCCCGTCTTGCTCCCTCCCACTGCCCTTCTTCCTCACTCACACACATCCTCTCCCTCACATTCATTCCAGGACTTCACACCGTGATCCCAGGGACAATTATCACTGCCTCCTAACACCTGTCCTCTTGACAAGGCAGCTTACAGAGCCCTCAACACTTTCTGGATATGTGTCTCCTTCCCCTTGGCAAACACATTCCAAACACAAACTGCTCTAGTCTAGTCTGCCATCACTGGACCTAGTCTGCCATCACTGGACACAACACTCTCCAGCCCCCAGCCCTGGACAGCCAGCCTCCACCCCACCCCAACTCCATTTCTCTTTCCCTCTGGTCCTCCAGAAAAACTAAACACTTGCTATTTCCTGCAGGTTTTTGGATTTTTTTTTAAGGGAACAGCTGACTTTGGAATCCAGAACTTCCAATTGTAGGATCAACACACACCATTCTTGGCTGTGTCTCCTATCTTGTGCTTACACTGAGACAATTCCCTGCCCAAGGTCAGTTGTTATCCTTGCCAGCTTTGCTAGGAATGTCAAACTCTGTAGTTCTCACTTTCACCATTTTTTTTTAAAGCATAAAAACAGCTTCTTAAAAATCCAAGCAGCGTCAGACATGGTGCTGTATCGCTTTAATTCCAGCACTCAGGAGCCTGTGGCAGAAGACTCTGAGTTTGAGGCCAGATTGGTCTACAAAGAAGTCTAGAACAGCCAGGGCTACACAGAGAAATACTGTCTTGAAAAACAAAACAAAGTCTAAGCAGCAATAAACACCTTGGACAAAATTTCCAAATAAACAAACAAATGGAAGCTGGGCACAGCAGCACACGCCTTTATTCCCAGCCCTCGGGAGGCAGAGGCAGGGAGATCTCTGAGCTTGAGGCCAGCCTGGACTATAAAGCAAGTTCTAGGGCAGCCAGGGCTACACAGAGAAACCCTGTTATAGGAAAAAAAAAAAAAAGGAGTAAGGACTCAATGTCAAGAAATCCTGTGAACATTATGCTAAGGGAAGGAAGCTAGGCACGGCAGGTACATGAGATTTCTATTGAAGTGATCAAACAGGTAAGGCCAGCTGTGAGTGGTGGACCATGGTCAGACCCTAATACTGGTTGCAAACAGTAGTACCCACTGAGCAATGGTAGGAATATCCACTGGTGAAACCCTGCTGCCAGCCAGGCTGAGAGCCCCTGTCTAATCAAGGCTTCTGCTCTGACATGAAAACAACCCCAGTTGCTTCACCAACTTGTAACTCAAGGAACAATTCACATTTTACTTCTCAAGTGTAGGACAAAGCTAGCCTGACTGTCTAGAAGTTTGTGAAGGCAAACAAAGTACACAGCCTCCTCTGCAAAGGTCAGTGCCCCAAATCTGCCAGCTTCAAGGGACAAGCCACAGCTGGGAAGAACCGGGCAGGAGGGTGCAGAGATGGGCTGGGGAGAGTCCCAAGAAGAGGTCCCTTGGCCTTCACTGGCTCCTGCTGGCATCCCCAGACCAAAATGCCACCAGAAAACATGGATGGATTTTTTTTTTTTTATTAAGGCACATGAGCTATGGGTGTCCTAGATGGAGCAGGAGCACATGCTTCTGCGGATACACAGGCTTGCCACTTCCCAAACAGCTGTGCAGAGGAGGCCCACCGGGATACCTGTGCTGGCAGGAACAGTTCCTGTTTCTCACTTGGCAGACAGTGGCCAATGGTCGGGGCTTGGAAGGCCACCTGAGGTCAGTTCTGCTGACATGCTAACTGCTCATCTTCTCACTTTCCTTCAGAGCAGCAGCCAGTGTCACTCCAGAGCCAGACAGAGCAGCGGCATCCAGCAGAACCAGCCAGATTTTCCAGTCACGTCTGGCCTTTGTAATCCTCAGCAAAGGAAGGCCAACTCTAAAGCCCAGTACCTCCCTAGGTTTCCGGGACAGTAGTCAGTCACCTGGTCCCAGTTAGTTCATTCCTGGTCTAGGCAATGAACTTCCTCCACCTCTCCTGCCATCATCTGTTCTGAGGACAAAAGGGCCGGGTGTGTCCAGGCTGGTGGCAGAGACTACATTTCCGAGGCTTTTTTACTGTAGACCCTGCATCTAAGGAACCAGCTCTTTGTCTTTTGCTTGCAGCCTCTGGTCTCTGGGCTTTTCCTCTGCCTCCTGGCCATGCTGGGGCTACAAAACTCCCTGTGGGAGGAGACAGGAAAGATGTGTTCACAACTGATACGAGCAAGAAGCAAGAGCTAGGTCCAATGCCCAGTGTGGTGGTGCATGCCTACAATGCTAGTACCTGAGAGGCAGAAGGGTAGCCCACGGTCAGCCTGGGCTACATGAGACTATATCTCAAAACCAAATCAAAATCAAAAGATAAAATGTTGAGTAAGGGTGTCAACTTTTACAAGGCAGGTGAACCCATGGGCCAGACTGCCTCTGCTTTGTGAAGGTCAGCTCTTTGTCAAGGACATGATGTACCTACCACCTGCTACTTGCTTTTTCTTTTTAAACTACTTTATTTTTTCTCATGTGTACGTATGTAAGCTTATATGAGTGCCAGTGTCTGCAGAAGAGGATACTGGACCCTCTAGAGCTAGAATTACAGGTGATTGGTTGTGGTCCACCTGATGTAGGTGCTGGAACCAAACTCAGGTCCCTCTGGAAGGGCAGCAAGTGTTCTTAACAACTGAGCCATCTCTCCAGCCCTGCTTTCTTATTTTAAAGAAACTCAAGTTCTTAGAGACACTGTCGTGATGAGGCGGCAGTGGTAATTTTCTATGTACCCTTCCTATATAGCAGACGCCCAAGCACACAGTAGTAGACAGGGAGTCTGTGATCAACAGCCAGCTTCCTAACTCTACCTTGCCTGCAAGGAACCTCGAGCACTTAAACCTAGTTTATAAACAGGCTTCAGTGCTGGCTGCCCCGTCACTGAGGTTAATTTGCCATCTGGCTTGAAGGTCATATGTCACTTCTGGTGACCCTAGAAAGTCTCAACTGTGTACAAGGCCAGGCAAAAGAAGCTCTGTCTGGCGGCCAAAAATCTTGTGCTTTTCAACAAGCCTTCTAGTCCTTCCTACATCTGGAGGCGCAAATATAAGAATCATACGAAGTCGGCAATAAGGCACATGCCTGTTATTCTGGTACTCAGGAGGCTGAGGCAGGTTTGCAAGTTTGAGGTCATCCTGGCTATATACATAACTGGCCTCAAAATGTGTACCCCAGACACAAGTAGATAAATAAGTAAACAAATAAAAAAATCATAGTCAGAAACTAACCCGGCTCCTTTATGAACAGGAGTCCTGTGGGATAGTGGTAGGTAGCACCTTACTGCTGAGGAGACTGAGGCTGATGGGCTCAGCCAACCGAGATGGAAAAGACCTGCTTAGCTTTGGGCTACATGAGATAGTTTGTTTACTGTTGTGCACTGCAGTGGCAAGGGCCCATGTGATCCAATGTCTGGGTGCCAGTCCTTGTAACATTCATTCTTGAGGCACTGGCCAGCTCTGGGCATTCACAGTCAGTGTGTCATTAGATAAAATGAGGCTGATTATCAAGGCCCTAGCAAGGGTGACAGTCTGCAGGGGAGAAGATGGTTACTCCTACCTTGGGTCCTGTCATTGTGATAGCAAATAAAGCCCTTCACTGGCCTGAGCCTCACCTCACTTGTAAAACTGTGATGTAATGCCGATGAAAGATGCCTGATATAGAATGTGTATTTGTCACAGTGCTGGGCACAGCAACTACTCTTTAATGTAAACCCAAGACCCCATGGGTCATACCGTACTAAACAATGAGGAAACAGAGGCACAGTCATGCCCCGCTGATCCCCCACTGCACAGATCTGCCTTCCCGCCTTGTCTGGTCTCTGTACTGGTAGACACTGTGAAAACCTAAGCAGAGATCCTCTGCCCTGCTGCCTCACCTGGGGCCACGTTCTCATCCACCCACTGAAAGAAGCCACATTGCTGCTCTCGTGGCTTGGCACAGGTATGGAACTGGCGTCCTTTGTTGGGTCCATCCTTTTGTACAGTCCGTGTGACAGCAGGCTGCCCACATAGGCAGGATGTACCTCCAGCACTGTCACCACCAAGGCTGCCAAACCCATCCATGTGGCTGCCTAAGCCTGATGGGCATCCGACAGAGTTTCCTGGAGGTCTTGATGCAGAGGTGAGGGGCCCTCCTCCAGTGGGATGGCTGCCATCAGCCCACAGGAAGAAGCTGCAATCACCACCACTGCACTTATAGAAGTGCCGGCCCTGGTTGGGGCCCTGCTTGCGGACAGTGAGCAGCACAGCCTCCCGGCCACAATTGCAGGTCACAGAGTTGCTTTCACCAGCAGCAGTGGGTGGTAGCAAGGTTTGGGCCACTGCCTTCGAAGGTTCAGTATGTCTGTTAACCAGAGGTTGAGACAGGCTATGCTGACTGCTGTCCATCCTGTTGAGGGCCTGGCTGGCCTGCAGGTAGCCAGAGGGCTGGCTCGCTCGTTGGGGAGCCTGTGAAAATCGCAGGCTGAAGATTTCTTTCAAAGTCTCATCACATCCACCAATGCAGCCGACAAACTCCAGGGGCATAGCTGGGGGGAGACTACCACGCTTAAACTTCAGCTTCAACCTGGCGAGCCAAGATGAGACAAGATGTGGTACACAGTGGTGGCCAGCCACAGCCTCCCTGCTTTTCCCTGGAAGCCCATTCAGAGTCCAGAGCAGAAACATACAGACCAACTCTCAGACTCTAATCCACACAAATATAGGAACCTCTGGAAAGTTCTACTTCTCTACATCACTGCCCCCTCAAGACTCTGGGGCTCTTTCAAGGTATGGAACTCAAGATGGGTAAGAATGCATCTGGTCTAAGAATGCATTTGGTCTATCTCCATGCTTCCACAGGTGCTCAATGGAGAGCTTTCCAGAAACAATGAAACGTGTGATGGTTCATGGGAGTGCAGGACAGAGATGGGTGTGTTTACATCCCATCTTGCCCACATGAAAAGCAACATTATTCTCTTCAGTGGTGATGCTGTGTATCTGCTTTGGAAAGTAAGTGATTTGTCCTATAAATCATTTTAAAAAATATGTTAGTAAGAAATGCACGTGCCTAGCTGGGCAGCATGGAACATTCTTTCCCAATTCTCAGGAGGCAGAGGCAGTCAGGTCTCTGTGACTTCTGCAGAAGCTGAGAACAGCATTCCCTAGAGCAGTGGTCCTCAACCTTCCTAACACGGTGACCTTTTAATACACTTCCTCAATTGTCGTGACCCCCGACCATAAAATTATTTCCATTGCTACTTCATAACTGTAATTTTGATATTGTTATGAACTGTTATGTAAATAAGTTTGCCAAAGGGGTCATGACCCACGGGTTGAGAACTACTGCCCTAGACACTCTATGGGTTTCAATGAGGACAGGAAAGAGTTCTGCATGCCCCAGAGACATCCAGCTCACCTGTACACAGGGGACGGCTGACAAACTGAACACACACTGTTGTCCCTGCTGGCCTCCAGCACCGAGTCAGGAAACCACACAGCTGACCGACATTCTGGGAACCCCGTGCAGCTAAGGTAGAACCTAAAGAACAGAGTGGACAGGTCACATCCAGGAGTTTGGAAGGCACACTGATTACATCCATCTGCCAGGAAGAGTCTTCTTTCATTTTCTTGGTTTGCTAAGTCAGGGTCTCACTGTGAAGCCCTGGCTGGAACTTGCTATATAGACCAAGTTAGCCTGATCATAGAGATCTATCTGCCTCTGCCTCTGCCTCCCGAGTCCTGGGATTAAAGGTATGTGCCACCAGATCCCAACCTAAGAAAATACTGCTTGGTTCACACTTGGAACAAATTTGATTGGACATCCTGACACAGAATAATTAAAAACTCTTCTTGCATGCCTCTCATGTCCCTAAAACTTGCATCCATAGATGTGTGTTCCTGGCATCCGCCTTTGATCTCAGCACTTGAGAGGCAGAGGTAGGCAAATCTCTGTGAGTTCAAGGCCAGCCTAGTCTACAGAGCAAGTTCTAGGACAGCCAAGGTTACACAGAGAAACCCTGTCTCAAGGGAAAAACATGTAACTATTGCTGACTCTACTTGGCCCCCCCACTCCCCCCAGTGACTAGCTGTAGTGTTTCTCCAACATAATTCCAGCACTTGGGAAGCCGAGGAAGATTTAACAACTGTGAGGCAGGCCTGGGCTGCATACTGAGTTTCAGGTTACCTTGAGCTACAAAGTGAATGAGACCCTCTTTCAAAAACAAACAAAACAGCACTGACTAAGGTGGAGCCATGTATCAAGTGCCCTGTGCATACACAGTATTGTGTTTCATCTTGCCCTCTAGAGACTGCCACTCTCGCCCAGTGTGGTAATGTATGCTCACACTCCAGGCGCTTGGAAAGTGAAGGTAGGAAGATTTAGAGCTCAAGGCTAGCTTAGACTTCATAAGCAAGACCCTGGATCAAAACAAACAAAACAGAAACCCACTCAGTTGGTAGTAGGTAGGAGAAAGCTGCCAAGTATATGAGGCTCTGGGTTCTACTCTTATACTTCAAATAACAAAAGTGAAAATAGACAACAGCAAAAAGCCCTGGGGCTAGAGAGCTGGCTCCATGGTTAGGAACACTACCCATTCTTGCAGAGGACTCAAATTTGGTTCCCAGCACTCAAACTGGACAGTTTTCAATCAGCCGTAGCTCCAGTTCTAGGAGATGCAAACTCTCTTCTGGATCCTGCAGGCACCTGCATGCTTGTGATGTACATACAGATAAATGGGCTCACACACATAAAGCTGGGTTTTTGTTGTTGTTGTTTTTTGTTTTTGTTTTTTGAGACAGGGTTTCTCTGTGTAGCCCTGGCTGTCCTGGAACTCACTCTGTAGACCAGGCTAGCCTCGAACTCAGAAATCCGCCTGCCTCTGCCTCCAAGTGCTGAGATTAAAGGCGTGCGCCACCACCGCCCAGCACATAAAACCGTTAAAAAAAAAAATCCCACTTATAATGCAGTGAAGTAGACATGACCCTAAGGGAGAGAAAAAATGATCTTACTTATGTGTCTGGTGCCCTTGGACGTCAGAAGGCACTGGATTCCTTGGAACTAGAGTTATGGATGGTTGTGAGATGCTTGTAGGTGCTGGGAACCAAACTTGGGTCCTTTGCAACAGCATCCAGTGCTCTTAACTGCTGAGCCATCACTCCAGCCTGCCTCCTTTTCATGGAATATAAATTCCCATAGCACTCGGCATCCAGGTGCTACCCTGGTACCTTCCTAGGTTCTGCCGAGAGCAGGCCTGTTCTGAATAATAATATGGGCATGGTCCAACATGGCCTTTCAGAGCTGGGGGCTATCCCAGTATATACTTGGGGAGCAGGTAAGAGGGGAGCCAGACACTAACCCACCACTCTTCTTGGTCTTGAGGACCATATCCTTGTTACACTGTGGGCACTTCCGAACAGGCTCTGGCATGGCTGGGTAGATCTCCTCTTGCTGGGCCACCTCTGTCCTTTCTCCTAAGTACTGAGATAAGGCCTCATCCAACCTGAAGAAAAAGCAGACACACAAACCAGTTTCATTAAAAAGGCCTTTATAGCACTCTTAGGTGTCCACAATACACACGAAACTGGAACCAGTTGGTTAGGGAGCCACAGGCTGATGCAAGAAGCAGAAAGCAAAAAGGACATGGGGCTCTTATCCCACTGGCCCGGCTCCAGCTCTGAGCGCGACGGCAACCCTAGGCTCACTCCAGCTCTGAGTGCCACGGCAGCCCTAGGCTCACTCCAGCTCTGAGTGCCACGGCAGCCCTAGGCTCACACAAACAGTACACATTTAGCAATGTCTGTCTATGTAATTCTGCTACAGGGTAGTCTCAGGGATAAAAAACCCAAACTTGGGTTGGCCCAAAGGTTCAGTGGGGAAGCGTGCAAGCTTGACACCCTGAGTTGGACTGTTGGAACACCTACAGTGGAAGAAGAACACTGTCTTCTCAACACTGTCCTCTGGCCTAAATACATCTGCCTTGGCATGTATACACTCACAGTGAATGCACATGCATGAGCACACACACATTCTCTCTCTCTCTCTCTCTCTCTCTCTCTCTCTCTCTCTCTCCTCTCTCATAACACACACACACACACACACACACACACACAACCAAAAGAACCCAAGTGGTATTTCCTGCCATTCCTGTAATAATACAGCCAAGCAGAATACTGACCCTACACATGGAGAAGTTGCCCAGTGCACACCAGCTGGGTGTGGTCCTGCCTGGAGTGAGTGAGACCCCAGACTGAGAGCTCAGTGACCAAGACTGTTCCCCTTTCACACACTAGCTGCAGATGTGACCTGTGCTTCTGACCACAAAGGGGGCTGGTAGGGGTCTGTCTCACTGCATGGCTCACATAACTCAGAACAGCCAGACAGGAGAGATGCAAAGGGCAGGCGCATGAGCGGATCGTATGGCCCTGCTTGCCAGGTGTCCCCAGGCACTCAGCTACTTAAAAGCTTAGAACAAAGTTTGTATGATGTCTTCAATACTTAGACACAACTGGTAAATCGTGAGCCGCTGGTGACCAATTTAATCTTCAGCAGCACCCTAGAGTAGCTAAAGTACTGCCTGTTAGCCTTATGGAAGTCTCTCCTGGGAACTAACCTTGGCCCGTGGCTTAGCAGATGCTTTCCATCAGTCAAGTGACTGGCAAACAAAGATATCACCACTATAGCGAGTTCAAATGAGCCAGGAAAGCAAACTAAATATGCTTCTATGCTAATGAATCAGCATCAGGGTTAGAAAACACTTTTTCCTTTTTTTTTTTTTTTTGAGACTGGGTCTTATTTTGTAACCCAGGATATCCTTGAATTCACAGCAATCTTCCTGTGTCACTTAAGTGCTAGGATGACACACAGGAGCCACATCATCTTTGGCTTGAAATGCATTATTTCTAACAAAACACATACTCTGTTTGCTAACTGGCCACCTCCAAATGCTCCAGAGAATGAACAGATTCCACACCAGAACCTGGATTAGCTGGTTTAGAGGAAAGCTGCCCACCAAGGCAGAATTAGAATAAAAAGGAGAAAACAGCACTTCTCAAGCTCAGATCCATTAGAGGCAGTTTTCCTAGAAACGAATAAACTGAACCCAGAGCAGAAAATCCAAGGGACAGTGCCTGTATAGCTAGCCCCCTGCCCAGGGGCTCTCAATTCTGGGGGGTGCTGTGGCATGGCTGGGAGCTACAGAACACCAGCACAGGGGAGCAGGATCTGGCACTCACTTCTTTGCCTTCGCCACTGCTTCAATGAAAACCTGCTTGTATTTTTGCACTTGCTGCCTTAGAACCTGAAACTTATCCTTCTTGCCCTCACAGATCAGCTTGAGATCAGCTTCCAGCTCGGCACGGAGGTCAGGCTTAGACATCTCATAGCCCATGGAATCGTAACCTGCAGGGAAAGAGCAGTGCTATGAGAAACAGGAACCTGGGACACCTTGGCCTCCCCACTGTCCACTCCAACTCCCTAGTGTTTTACCTTCTACAAGTCCCATGCCCAGGTGCCCAGGCAGGAACCGCTTGTCTGAGGTGAGTCCCACATACATCCGGGCTTTGATGGTCTCAATGTGTTCTGCATGAGTTGCATCAGTACCTAGAAACCATTTCCTTATCATCATCATCATAATCATCATCATCACCATCCTCATCTAGTATAGTCCCAGGTGACCTTGAACATGCTGTGTAGCCATGTTGTCCTTGAATTCTGAATCCTCCTCTACCTCCCAACTGCTGGAACTGCAGGTGTTGGCCACAAAGTCCATCTCATATCCCCATTATTCTGCAGTGACACAGACTGCAGCGCCAGCACGGCCTGTGGATCTCATTTACTATGGATACTTCTTATGCCTGGGCAGTTTATGCAGGTAAGATTTCTTAATCACACCTGACTTATGCTAGCAGTCTCAGAGGCCGCCTTGATTTTCCTCCCTCCTAACAACTGAGGGCTCACAACTGCCAATTCCAGCTCCTTATCCAAATCCTTCTCCTTCCCTGTGTCAGACTATCCTGTGTGGCCGGCCCATGGACCACCTGTAACATTCACACTTCTCCAATTTTGCTTTCTTTGTCCACCTCTTGTTCAAAAGCTGTGGCCCAGGGAGCTTTTCAGTGCAGCTGCACTGCTAGGGAGATACAAACCGAAAACCACAATGGAACGCTATACCACGCCTGGCTTACTTTAATTCTGTCTCTGCATGGGTATGTGCATATGAATGTAGGTGCCTGTGAAGGGGACACGAGATCTCCTGGAGCTGGAGTTACAGGCAGCCATGAGCCATCTAACATGGGAGCAAGGAACAGAACTCAAGCCCTTTGCAAGAGCAGGAAACTCTCTTAACTGCTGAGCCATCTCTCCAGCCCCTGGAATTGCACTTTTACTATTTTTGAGGCAGGGTCTTGCTCTATATGCAAGGATAACCTTGAACTCTTGACCTGCTTGCCTTCTTGCCCTCCTAAGTGCTGGGATTATATCCTGTGCTAACATACTAGCTAGGTTCCCAGGCCTTCTTAATTTTATATTGAGACAGGGACTTCCTCAGCTGCCAGTCTGGCCTTAAAACTTTTAACCTCGCTGCCTCAGCTCCAAATGAGCCTTGAGTCATAATAAACACCTATATCATTACACACATGGTACAGTGTTGGGTTCTTCAGGAGCACTGGAAGGGCTGGGGTCCCCTGGGCCCAGTGTTAAGAGTGCTTGCCTAGTTTGGATCTACCTCTAGCACTGTAAAAGCAAATTTACAAAGCACATTAGCCATGGAGTTATCTGGACTGGATATTAATAGTGTATGTACTTTGTGACCTTAGGTAAGTTCTTAACCTGTGCAGGTCTGACCGCAATGGTTTTTCTTTCTTTTTTGAGTCGGGGTTTGGGATGGAATTGGAGGGCCTTGTGTATGGTAGGCACGTGCCCTGCCGCTTACGTACGCCCCAGGCACCTCACTGAAACAAAGAACAGGGATAGGAATGTAATGCCTTCCCTGAGAGGAGGTCATGCCTGGCCTACAACATGCCCAAGAAACAAGATCCCCACAGAAGATACTGACCGATACCATGTTTCTCCATGAGGGCGATGAGGTCGGCTTCGGTAAGCAGTTGGGGTGGGCTAGTCTCCCCATCCACCATTTCCACAGTGCTGGGCTGAAAGCGGAGGCCTTGCTCATAGACAGGGAGGAGCTACAAGGGGAGCACGGGTGGGATTCAGATCAGTTGTTCTCAAGCTCAGCTCAGCCCTGCTCCATCAGGAGTCACAGACTGGAGCGCTACTGTGCCCCTCTCCCTGGAGGGCCACTCCCTTATCACCTTGTCACTCCAGTGATCATACGGATACACATCTAGGTAGTTACGAGCCAGAATTATGAGGCCATGGGCTACAAAGCGCTCCTGGGCAATGTCAATCTCCACGGTAGTCTCTTGCCCCTGAGCATCCTGAGAGCAGCAAGCCAGGAAATGGCGAACGATGAACTCGTACAGTCGCCGATCATCTCCCTGAAGAAAATACACTGTGAGCCGCAAGTCTGCACAGAATAGAACCCACGGCTCCTCGAGCCCTGTAACAGGTGAGTGAGAGTCCTTGGGAAGCTACTCCCCTGGTGCCTTTTTTTTTTTTTTAAAGAAGGGGTCTCGTTATGGAGCTCTACTAGAACAGAAACCTGCCTGCTTCTGCTTCCCGAGTGTCGGGGTTAAGGGAGTAGGCCACAATGCAAACTTCACAACTCTGACCAGGGATAGTGAGGTGAAAGCACAAGAAATTAGCAAGATACTTTCTAAATACAGGTAACACTGAACGAAAGCCTGGGGCTACCTTCATGCATGCACAAGCAGTGGTTTGCTGGGGTAATATTCCATCAGTCAGGTAGGCGGGGATTTAGTGAGGCTCACCCTATTACATCCTTGTATTCTGACCTCTGCACATGCATGCCCTCAATGAATAAAACATAATGAAATCAACTAAGGCTAGGCATGGTGGTGCACACTTTTAATCCCAGCACTTAGGAAGCAGAGACAGGGGGATCTCTGAGTTTGAGGCCAGCCTCATCTATACAGTGAAACTTTGTCTTAACGGAAAGGTTGGAAAAATTTAAAACATAAAAACAGATTCACTGAAGGCTTCCTCACTCCTCTCTTGAAATAAAAGACATTTGGTATCACTGTTTCCAAATACTATAGCCTACGGAGCCAAGTTAGGCCTCACCACCTGTCCTGACCTGCTCTGTGCTCCAGCAGGGTTCACACTCGGAGGAACCAACCTGCAAGCTGCTGGTGTACTTGGTGGGGTGAATGGGAGGGTGAGCTTGATCAGATTTGCTCCCATTTCGTGGAGTGGGGCCACCTCGCTCTAGAATGTTCTGAGCAAAAGCCCCCCAGTGTGGATCCAGGGTCTGCTGTTCCACCAATGCAACCAGGTTTAAGTCTTTGGGGAAGATGTTTGTTTCTGTCCGGGGGTAGCTGATGTATCTAAGAGAAAGGTAACAACAGGGCATTGTTAGGCTTTTTCATTGTTTTGTAACCAATGGAAGTTGTAGTCACCCAACTGACACTGCCAATGTAACTGTAAACTACCTAAGCTGAGACAGGGTAGTTGGAGATAGGGCCCCTCAAGGGGTGAGAAGCATCAGGCTTCCCTGCTAGGACATTCTGGGAACCTAGACAAGAAAGCAAAAGCATACTATACGACAAAGGCTAAGATTCAGCAGTTCCTTTGGCTCAGGGCATACCACTGGCTCCTTACAGCAGTCAGTCTGACAGAAAGACCCTGTGTGGTGTAAGCCTCAATGGACTTGACTGTTCCAACAGCACATTCTTCTATAATTTTTTAAAATTAACTTTGTTATTTATCTGTTTTGCACATGTATAGGTCTGTGCACTACTAGTGTGTCTGGTGCTTTCAGAAGTCAGCAATGGATCCCCTGAACTAGAGTTAGAGATGGCTGTAAGCCACTATATGGGTGCTGGGAATTGAATCTAGGTCTTCTGCAAGAGTAGAAAGTGCTTTTAACAACTGAGACATCTCTCCAGCTCCTCTATAACTTTTCTTAAAGCAGATAAAGAATAGTGTTACCCCAGTGTTAGAAAGACAGCTCAAAACACTGGCTGTTCTTCCAGAGGACCAGGGTTTGATTCCCAGCATCCACAAGGAAGCTCACAACTGTCTCTAATTCCAATTCCAGGAGATCCAATATGTTCTTCTGGCCTCTGTTGGCACCACACACACACAGTGCACAGACACACATGCAGGAAAAATCCATACACATAAAATAAAAATAAACCTAAAAAAAAAAAACAAACAAAAAACAAAACCCCTAAAACAGTATTGCCCAATATGGCTAGTGGTATTGTGTGTCTAGCATCCTAGCATGTGTGATAGATACCCTGGGTTTAATCCCTAGTGTTAAAAAAAGAAAGGAAAAAACCCTGAATATTTCTTGTCATATATATATATTTTTTTTCAAAATCTACTATGTATTTTATACTTACAACACATCTCAATTTGGGCAAGTCACCTGTCATGTCCTCAAACAGTGGTAAGGACCCTTCACTGCTGGCTATTCACTGACCACAGACATAGGAGGACTCTGACAGGCAAAACAAAACAAAACAAAACCCAAACGTGCTGCCTGCTGGCTGACACTTGGTAAGACCCAGGAGAATTGCTGAGGGGTCAAGAGTAGGATTTCGCACAATGGTAGTGTGCATACCTACTGTGTGCAAGACCCTGGATTACGTTTCCAGCATGGAGGTCAGGGGAGGGAGTGATTTCAGATTCTCTGTGAGCTCCTATATTTACCCTTGTGTATAGAGCTTTTCTGCAATCCTCATGGTTTCCTTGGCATTTATTCTCAGTTTCCGAGACGCCAGTTTCTCTAGCTCCTGTCAACAGAGACAGAGGATGAAGCTTCTTGTGAGTCAGAGCACAACACAAGCACCTAATTCACCCTCAGACAGGTCTGGCCCTGTGACTTCAGTTCCAGTCATCATGTCAAGGGAGAGAGACTGCCCAAGGGAAGGTTCCTGGGCTGCCAGGAGCATCCCAACTAGTGGGGTTGTTGTTTAAAATGTACTTTAATCAAAACAAAACAAACCAACTAAAGAAAACAAATAACAGCACGAAGGTGCTTGGAAGCCGGAGACAGAAGATCTCTGAGATCTAGTGAAGGTCTCTGTGAGATCTAGTGAAGGTCTCTGTGA